TGGCTTTCTCCTCCTCTGCCGATTCTTTGTTCGTAAGGCAGCGAAAATTGAATTTCGATCTGGGCTTTGTGGCTACTTCACTTGGCTCAAGTATTTCCCCATAGAGACCGTTAGCGATCTGCAACGCGAGCTCCACATTTAAATCAATTGCTGGGCTAGTTGGCAGAAGCAATTCGAGACTTGCAATTGCCAAGTTGCACATTGCAATTCTGCGATTACTATTACCAAAAACGAAACAGAGAGAAAGAAAAATTGAAGTAACATGTGTGACGGAGCGCCCTCTGGCGTCGTGGAGCGGCAGCAGAAGCAGCAGCGGCTGACTTCTCGCGTTACGCCTCTGCCCCGCCGCCGTGCGGAATGGAGCCATTGTTTCGTTTTCTATTTCACAGACGACTGGCTGCTGGCTGCGGGCTGCCGGCTGCCTTCATCCATCGACTGACTTTCACTGGCACAGCCTTCAGCCTGGGTGGAGTCGTTCGTTCGCCGCTTTCCGGGGAAGTGCCCCAAATACCGCGCTCAACTTTGCAGCGTGCGTGCGCTTGAAGTACTTCTTCTTTTTCTATTTTTTGTGCTGTTGACTATTGTTGTTGCTATTTCAAGAGCATTGCAAATATTTGACTGTGCTTGTTTAGCAGCAGAAAGTATCTTATAGATGCGCACGCGACGCCGCCGCTCCAGTCGCAACTGTAAACTGTGCAAATACTAGAGTTCCAGCCGGCGTGGCCTCCGTGGACGGGGACGAAAACTGTGCCAAAAGACGTATGGCACAAAGCAGGATAAATTTGCCAAGTTTATCATAGCAAGGGCGGGGTGTGGTGGTAGGGGGGAGGGGGGCGTGATACGTTGGCAAAACATGAGGCAAAGCATGAGCATAAAATATTGTCAGCGATATTTTAACGCGCGCTCAAGCGAAATTGTCATATAAATAACACCAGAGCTTGGGGCGAGGGGGAGGCAAGAGGGGCGAGCAGCACAAGTGGAGTCCCGATCCCCATTTCAAACTTCATTCATCCGCCCGCTGCTGCTGATATGGAAAGTGGGTCTGGTCTATTGGCTGGCGTTACTTTGAAATATTAAACATTTGGCAAAGAACAACAAACCGGTTGAAGTTTATTGCCGGGCGGCGAATGGGCGTGGCCAGCTGGTGGAAATTGGAGCCGCTTAAAGTTGGGCCAAAGGAATTAATAAAGCGGGCGAAAGCAAGAGTTGGGCATTTGATTTCCCCAAAAACTTTGGCAGACTCTAGGCAAATAGAAAAACTAGAGGGAAAACTTATTGAGCATGAGCGGGCATGAGTCCTGCTGCACCGCTCTGACCCTCCGCCCCTCCACCTCTATTAAATCAGAAACATGCATTTATTTAGCAATTTCCTGGCAATGGCGAAACAAAAGCAAAACTGTTGCAAGAGTCGCATGTTTTTTTTTCTTTGCTTTTGCTGGCAAATTTTCAAAAACTCAACCGACTAAACAATAAGCAGCAGCAACAATACAGGGAGGGGCTGTGGGGCTGGGGGACAGGTGGTTGGCAAACAAAAAACGGAAGTCATAGCAGAGGCGAAAGCAAAGCCCGGCGGAGCAGCCAGCTCCAACGGGGGACTGCAACTGTGGCGGCACCAGCCAGACAGACAGACTGAAGGACAGACAGTCGCACACACACACACAATAAAGAAGTGTGTGTTTTATTTTTTGCTGCTACCTTAGGTTTTTCCTTTTCTATTTCCCACTTTCTGTATGTGTGTGTGTGTGTGTGTGTGTGTGCTGCAGCATGGCCGCAAGGCTACACGGCCACAGTTGAACTGACAGCCAAACATTTATAACAATGGTCAGCATGGTGGGCGTGGTGGGCGTGGGCTCACACCCGGACACGAATCCAGTCAGAACTAATAAATGAGTTCAGCCAAAAAAAAAAGGGGGACAGCAGTCGAAAAAGGTTTGTCCGTAAACCAAATAAAAATGTCCGAAGCGAAAAAAAAAGGATAGAAAAATCTCAGTGGCTAGCTATAAAATATTTAGAGCATACTTTTGAGCGGCAGACACGTCAGCTGGACAGAGAGAGGCCAGCGACCGAGCCGAGCCGAGTCGAGGGTGACAACTTAAATGGTGTTGAATGTGGAGGGAGAGTCGAAGCGATGGGGGCTAAAAATTAAAGCTAGTGTTGGTAAAGAGCGACAAATATGATTATTATTTGTATTTATCTATTGAGATTTAAAGCGGTGCATTTGTGATATCTTAACAGAAATACAGTCATGTATAACCCACCAAAGCTTTATCAATAAAGTACCAGTAGATTATTTTGTATGCCTTGAAATGATTGTGACGATCTCAGAACTTATGAGAGTTAAGAACCAGCAACTTTTTTTAGAGGATCTTATATATGTGAAGCACATTAAATTTATTTTGATAATCGATAACCATTCCGCATTTTGATGCTATCGATTGAAGCCCTTAGCAACATTTCGTTTTTCGTACTAGTTTTTAATTTTTTATTAAATTATGATTGTGTTTTTCTTAAGTTTGTACAAATATGATGTGGCGGTGTTGGTAGAGGCATTGTGGGTTGATTCAGAGATTTAATGGCCTGGCTCTGGGCCTGAGCTAGCTAGAGTTTAGAGCTCTTATTAGATAAATGCTGTAACCTAATAATGAAAGAGTGAGCTCTACCTTATACTATAGCTTCGCCTTATCAGTTTATGAAGTATTTCTATGGAGTATTTCGTAGTGTTAGGGTATTCTAGCTAGTTTTATTCAATTTTTAGACGTATCAATTCATTTATATATTTTAGCAACATATTTAATAGAGCATAATCAGAAATTTAGCCTCCTAGCTCTACTCAATTACTTTGTCACCATATTTAAAGTGACGGCATGTCGCTCTGACCTTTACGCCGTGACAATGTTTGTCTACACATGTTGGGCATTAGCCGGGAGCTGTGCGCTCTAGTTGAGCTGTTGGTTTAGGCCGGGCTGTTGCCATATTTTGTTTGTGAGCCGGCGTAAGTGTCTTCCTGTTAACGTATTGTCTCTCGGCTAACAGCCGTCATTTGTTGGGGGACTAAGCCAATAGCTGGCAGCGAGTCGGGTCATGTCCTGCCCGATGCCTGCTCTGGGCCATTTGGCAACCTGGCCCCAGCGCTTTCTTGTTGCTGTTGTTGTTGTTGTTGTTGGCCATTTAGCAGCATTTCACATTTCAGCAATTTAAATTTGATTTTCCAAAATATCTCCCCCGGCTTGCAAGTGCGTGTTGACTGACTGCTCAAGCAGCTGCTACCCGCACACAGACAGACAGACAGACAGACAGCGGCTGGCAGTGTGTTTCCATGTAGCTGCTGTCAGTTGTTTTTGTGCTCTCAACGGTTTGGCTTCAACTCAAGTTGCCAAAAGAAAAACAAAGAAACAGAAAAAAAAGGAATGGAATGTAGAAAAGCGAGCAACCTCTCAGTCGCAGTCTCAACAAGTCGCTTTATGGCATATGCATGATAATGATGAGATACTGCACAGAGAGCCAAGGACCTGGAACCCGGGACCCGGGACCTGGGGTGCTCCATTTTTGTGGCGTTGTTTCATATGATTGCGCCCGCTTCGCTCCCGGGTGTTTATGTGATATTTACATAATAAAAACGAGAGTCAAGTTGAAGCTGGAGCTGGAGCCGAGACGCGCCCGTCTCGAGAGTTGCTGCCAGCAGTTATCCTTTTTGGCGCAGCGCAAACAATACACAAAGCCATCAGTTGTCTGCACCGCCCCAGCACAGCCCCAACACAGCCACCCAGCCAGCAGTCCGCTGCTTGCCATGAAGTATGACCCACATCTATGATTATTTTCATGACGCCTTCGGGGCCGAGCCATTTCCATGCCGAACAATGCGTAAAGTTGAAAAATATGAAAAAGGCAGCGCCAAAGCCAAATATGCTTCAGCTGGGGCGTGGCCAACTGCTGTGTTTTTGTTTATACGCACTGTGAACGGATCGAGGGAGTGAAAAAAGAGTGAGAGGCAGAGAAAGAGAGAGAGTGAGAGAGAGAGAGACAGACTAAAACCAATAATAAGAAACAACAAAAATTGCTTTCTCCCTACCTCTCAGTCTTTCTCCGACTCCTGACTCCTTTTGTTTTATTTATTTGATAGACCATTTGGGGTTGCGCCTTTTGCCCATATCCTTTCTGGCATCCTTGAACTTCTCGGAGCTGTGCGCTAAATTGAGTTTCCCTTTTTGCCATTCTCTGATAAATGTCCCCGAAGCACACAGAGTGCAAGTTGTTTTTCAAGTTTCGACCAAAACTAAACTATGTGGCATATCTTTGGCCTGGTCGCCTTTGGGGAGCTGCCCTCGTCCGCACATTCGAATGGGCTGCGACTTTGGGGACTCTGGGCCAGCCGGTCGGGCGCAAAGGGTTGGGTCACTGCCTAAAAATCGGATAACGGAAAAACGGGCCGAATGGGGCCAACCAATTCATTGTCCCCCAAAACTTTAAGTTTTACACAATTCAAGTGGATTAATTAACACTGAGGCTTTAAGTCGAGAAACGGCTTGAGCATGTACTATGTTATTCGACTTTAGCGGGCCTTCAGCTCAAGGATTTCTTAGCCATGTCAGACCCGATGTTGTACCAGTCGCGCTGTCCATTAAAGCTACATTTGTTTTGCGGGGCCCCGGAGTTGAGCTCTGCCATTGCCAGTTTCCATTTGGCTTTGCCACTAATGTTGTTGCCGTGGCCATTTAAATTGTCTTCATTTGTTTACTGCCAGACGGAGAATACAAAATAGAGAGATACAGCTGGTCGGCTGGGGACGTGGGGACGTGGGGACCAAACGGTGGAGACTCGGGCAGAGGCAGTGGCAAAATAATCCACAAAACTAGCGATTAACTTGCCAGGGTAGCCGGCGAATGCAGCTGCCAAATCCAATGAAAATCCAAAAGCCAAGCAATTTTGAACTCTAATGGAAAATCAATTTAAAGCGCACATACTAAAGCCCCGCACCCCTCTTAATTTTCTTCCCTTTACAGGCTAAACGAGACGGCAGACAGAGCGCCACGAATGTCGGACGCCAAATACGAAAGCCATTGGCAAACTTGGCTAAAACGTATTTAACCCAAAATAAAAGTGAGTGCAAGGGAGACCAAACGAGAGAGAGAGAGGGAGAGAGGCAGCTGCATCTATTGGACAGACAGTCAACGTCTGGTCACAGCAAAGGCAACTAACCAACAAACCAAACCAAACCACGCCACAGACCAGGCGCACACCGAGGGAGTAAAGCTCCAAAGGGGGCGCAGACAGAGAGACAGCCAGAGAGAGAGAGATAGATAGAGAGGAGCAGGCAGAAGGAAGAACAGGCACATAATGAGCAGACGAGGGTCGTCGGCAACGGCTATGGCAATTACCATGTCGCCGTCAACAACGTGGCTGCTGGTGCTTGGGCCGCTGCTGCTGCTGGTGCTGCTCGTGCCGACAAATGGCCTGGCAAATTGTCCAAATGGCTGTGAATGCGATGACGAAACTCTGAAAGTCAACTGCGGTGTGGGCACGCTCGATGTGCTGCCCATCGCACTGAACCCGTCCATACAGCGGCTGGTCATTAAGAACAACAAGCTGAAGACCATCGACTCATCGATGCAGTTCTATTCGCAGCTGACGTTCCTTGATTTGTCCTACAATGACATGGTCACGATACCAGAGCGCTCGTTCGCGTACCATGCCAAGCTCCAGGAGCTGCATCTCAATCACAATAAGATCGGGCAAGTGAGCAACAAAACCTTCACTGGGCTAACCACCATCACAGTGCTCAATCTGCGCGGCAATTTGATTGCCGAGCTGGAGTATCGCACCTTTTCGCCCATGGTGAAGCTGGTGGAGCTGAATCTCGGCCAGAATCGCATCAGTCACATCGATCCGCACGCCTTCGACGGGCTGATCAACTTGAGCATGTTGTACCTGGACGATAATACGCTCACCACGGTGCCATCGCAGCTCACATTCCAGGCCCTGCCCGGCCTGGCGGAGCTCTACTTGGGCACCAATTCGTTCATGACCATTCCGGGCGGCGCCTTCCAGGATCTGTCGGCGCTGACGCGTCTGGACTTGCGTGGCGCTGGACTGCATAATATATCGGCCGATGCTCTGAAGGGTCTGGAGGGCATACGTTATCTGGATCTCTCCGACAATCGGCTGCAGGCAGTGCCCTCGGCCGCGCTGCAGCATCTGGGCCGGCTCGAGCAGCTGTCGCTGGGTCAGAACGACTTCGAGGTCATCGCAACGGGCGCTTTTGTCGGTCTGCGTGAGCTGCGCCGCCTGGAGATCACGGGCGCTCATCGTCTGCGCCGTGTGGAGAGCGGCGCCTTTGCGGACAACACGAACCTGGAGCACTTGAATCTGTCGGCCAATAAGCAGCTCAACGAGCTGTTGGCCAACACCGTGGGCGGCTTTCCACACCTGAGCACCGTCATCCTGAAGGAGAATCAGCTGAGCACGTTGTCGGAGAGCCTGTTTCCATGGTCGGACTTGCAGACCCTGGATCTCTCCGAGAATCCCTTTGTGTGTGACTGCCAGCTGATGTGGCTGCGCAATCTGCTAATCAGCCGGAACGGAAGCAGCCAATACGCCCCCGTCATCTGCGCCTATCCGGCCAATCTGCACGAGCTGCCGTTGACGCAGCTGGCCGAGCCGCTCTTGGGCTGCACCCACGGCGGTGGCAACAAGCAGGCCATCATCGGCATCATGGTCGTCGGCTGTGCAGCGCTGATCACCACGCTGGCGCTGGTGATCTACACGTGTCGTCGTCGCATACGCGAAATGCTCAAGGGCCACTCGGCGCTGGGGCGCAAGGAGCGCGAGTATCAGAAGACCTTTTCGGATGAGGAGTATATGACACGGCCGCCGCCCGGCTGTGGCGGTGTGCATCCGGCGTCGGGCTATCCCTGTCCCAGCAGCTACAATTCGTCGCAGTATCTGGGCAGCCGGCCGATACCCGTCACCGAGCTATAGCTAGAAGCTCCGCCCCCACCTCAGCTGCGGGGTCGGGGCGGTGCCCCCGCCAGTCACAACGGTCCCTCGCCCTTGACAAACTCAGGAACAGCGCTACAGCAGCTGCAAGTGCCCAGCGCCGTCGATGCATCCCATGCGCCATTTGCCCAACTCAGCCACATTCACTACATGACCAACAATCCACAGACAGGAACAGGAGCCGGAGCAGGAACTGGAACAGGAACAGGAACAGCAACAGGACCAACAACGGCAGCAGCAACAACTACACCGCGCTCACATCATTCGCAGCAGGACATGCGATTGCTGGCGAATTGTGGCGGCGTCGGTGGGGGCAAGGCACTCGGCCTAAATGCCTCGCTGCCACGTCACATGGCTGCGCGGCAGTGCGGCGTACAGGAGAGCACCCTGTCGCACTATAGCCAACCGCTTGCCAATGGCCATGCCGGCATTCGGCTAACCCAGGATCATTTCAATCACAATGGCGCTGTGTATGCCAAGCCCTGCGATGCCATGGCCGATGCTGGCTATATACACAACAATTCGCATTATTCGCTGCCGCTGGACCATGATATGCCGCCGAGTCCGACGCCCACACCGCCGCCGCCGGCGTTGCCGTTGCGCAACGGCATGGGCATGGCTTTGGTGCATGGCAATACGACCGGCAGGCGTTCCTTCAATGCCAACAACAACAATGTGGCAACGCTGTCAAACAATAACCCAGTGCTGGTCAACGGCAACAGCAACAGCAACAACAATGGGAGCCTCCGCCGATATCACTGATACACGCTCAAGTCGTGCGGCACCTTGGGCCGCACCAAGCCGCAGCAGCCCAACGGCGACATTGAGCTCTATCACTTCTACAAGGGCTGATAACGCAGCGGAATTGGCACTGGAACTGGAATTGGGACACATTCTGTTACTTTTGAATATGCATTAGTTAATATTTATGTATTGTATATTTAGTTATTTCCATTCAGGCGAAATTATTTTGTATAAATTAGCGCTTAGTTAAACATAAAAAAAAAAAAACAAAAACAAAAGACAGTAGCGAATGCACTCGGCGGTTCTGCTGACGTTAGCCAACACTGCTGTCATCATCTTTAGCTGTCTTTTTCGCATCCAGTGATTTATTTAATAAGTTTTACTTAGGCATTTAAATTCCTGTAAATAATAATACATGCTATGCACAAATGATAACAACAAATTATGAAAATGCTAAAAACGAAACACAAAACTAAAAACTTAATTTGTATACAAAATATTTACGCTTCTAAGCACAAGTCATTCTAAAATTATATATATATACATATAAACATATATATAACTTATATGTAAAACAAAGTATAACTACGATTGAAAAATAAACAAATTAATTTAAAACAATTTAAAAAAAAAAAAACCAAAAGAATATCTAAACCGAAAACTAATAAAAATTGAAACGAAAAAAACACACTTTCATAGTTCATAAATTCAATATAAATAGAGCAGAGTTAGTAAACCTAAATTACTTATTGAATTAATAAAATATCAGAAATAAAGCGGTTTGAAAAACGCAGCAAGATAGCAACCATTATGCAAACCTACACAATATTTATGAAGAAGGTACTACAAATCGACGCTATGAATACAAAAGCAATTTATACAACATAATAAACACAAAGTATACAAAAAAAAAAAAAACATATATATATATATACATGTATAACAATAGATATATATGTGTAAATAAAAAAAATTTATGTTCGAACAAATGTAATTTTCTGTTGTTTTTCTCTATGGCCATTTTGCTGATTGGTTTGTCGCTATTATTATTTTTATTTATTTTTAAATTATTTTAGACCTATTATTTTGTATTATTTCACATTCTTTGGGTTGCTGACTTCGTTTTATGATGAGCTGCTGGCGCTGTTTTAATAATTGTAAATATATAAGAATTTAATGGAACAAAATGCAAAACACATACAAGGGAGTTAAACGTAACCTAAACTAAAATATAAAAAATAAAACAACATAAAAATAAAGAAACATCTACAAATAAATAAAGACAGAATATGAAATTCTTATTGAAAAATCTATTCAAACGTAAATTTATAGTCATATTCCATAATACTACAAATCTCTCATAAACAAACATTCATATATATATATATATATATAATAAATATATATATATACATTGAAAGCAAATAAGTAAATTTTTATAAACTTTAAGCAAATTACAAGGGACATTAATAGTTAAATCAACTAAAATCGTAATTAAAACGAAACAAGGCATTCAAACAAAAATTCATAAAATGTCATAAGGAATTAAAAGCAAAACAAAAACAAAAAATCTATTATCATATTCTAATATTGTACATGTATTACAATTTAAATAAAATGTATTAAGAGCATCAGCAGAACCTCTTGCGTATGTACGAGATTATGTGGAAGGCAACTGAAAAAATTAAATGATTGCAAAACTGTTCAAAAACTAGAATATAAAATAAAATAAACGAAAAACTTAACATACTCAATATTTTTATTGAAAATCATTCTGAAATGAATATTTACTATTGTTTTTTTTTTTTTGCCCTAAGACTAGTATTTCTCAGATGCACTGCACAGAACCACCTCCAGAACCACCTCCAGAACCACCTCCACCACATCCAGGAACACATCCATTACGACCGGAACCACCTCCGGAACTATTTGATGGCTGGGCTGCCTTCACCTTCTCCTTTTGAGTTGGTCGGAGCTTCGGATCCATCATTTTCGGTGTCATTATATTTATTTGGTCCATCATTTGAGGACTTAGGACTATCCCATTGCCGTTAAATCCACCATGTGAGATCTGGCCGTTGCCATTATTTCCGAAATTGTCGCTCTATTTACCTGCACCATGATTAATACTACCAGTGCCAACTTCAGTCCCTAATTTGACATTGCTTCTGTGTTGAAATTTTGGATTCTGTATTATAATAGGTCCAGTATGACTATACCATTGCCGTGAGATCCACCATTTGAGGTCTGGCCATTGCCATTATTTCCAAAATTGGCGGTCCAATGAGTGGCATTCAGATTAATACTACCAGCACCAGTTTCGGGATCTTTTCGATCAGCAGCAGTCCCATTGTTATTTAGAGGCACATCTTCCAGCGTAAGAAGAAATGCGTTTAGTAGTATCAAGCTAAATGATATACCAAAGAGGTACATTTCTGCAATGTGGTTGAACAACTTGGAAATAAAGAAACCATCGAAATAAGAAAGCTCTGGTCGTGACTGCTCGGCTACGGAATCCCCTGAACCCTTCGAAGAACAATTTTAATAATTTTTCGCGTCTACATTCGAAATTTGGAGACCAGCTCTAAAGGTGAATGAAATATAAAATTTAATAAATTATTTTTATTTATTTTTGATAGGGGTTTTAATCGATAACAAAATAACAAAATTATTGATCGATGTTTGGAGATAAGCTCGATATCCGCGCTATACATACGGACATTTTAACGCGTTCATACTTACCGAAAATCGGACAGGGTCAAATAGACTCAGCTCGTCGCCCTGCTCAAGAGTATATATAGTTTATGGGGTCTGTCACGGCTCCTTCTGCAAAGGGTTCAGGATTTAATAATAAAAAGAAACAATCATCAATGAAAAACCCACAAGAAGTTGGACGATTATAGCAACATTGTTTAACGTATGCTTTGCTTTATTTATAAAACTTGTGAAAATACCAAGTATATATGGTTAAACTTAACGTAACCGTTTTTTGTTAGTTTTTTTTTGTGTTCAATAAAAAAGCCTTTTGTCAAATGGGTAGCCCAGCCCTGCGGTGTTATCTTGACGAAGCTCAAATTGACCAAGATTGTTAATTGTTGCGTAGTTGCAGGCAATCAGGAAGTTATGCGAAGTTTTTGAATAGAATCTGGATGCGGCACAACCTATAACTATGTTCTTGTCAAACCCAATTTTCTCTTGCTGACTATTTTTGTATTCGCCCCACCAAGATTTAATGGATTGCAATACCAATGCACTATCAGTTCGCGCATTAAATGTTCCCGTATAGACATTGTGCGCGAGATTTTGTCCGGTGATCTTGTAAGTATTGGTCAGACAATCATCGTGAGCGACCTTACATTGCTTAACATTATATTCAGCTAACTTTTCCAATTCGTTGCTCCAGCGAAAGGGGATTGATTTAGTCTGAGCCCCACTGGTGCTGCGCAAATAGTTGTGTAGGCTAACAATGTATTCAACTAATTGAGGACTCATGGGTACCAGATACGCATCAGGGGGGCATTCAGTGGACCATAACTAAAAATGAATCTTGATGAGCCTCTATGCAAAAATTTCATATATGTAGCTACCTACTTCCGATAGACAGTTATTTGGTTCTCCGTGCGCTGACCGGGACTGAGCTCCGTCAAAAACCTGATCATAATTCTGCAATAGAAGTCGATTGGCCTTTCCATTTCCTTGTCCGGCACAAATACCCAGCACCAAGATAACCGTTAATTGCCATAAACTAAAATTCATCATGCAGAAGTAACTAAACGAAAAATAAATTTTGAAACTAAATATAGTTTAAATATATTTTCGAAATGAGCATACTTATAGCAGACAACTTGGTCCACAATTAGCTCAAAGTATATTGCAAATATAAGGAACTCCAATTATATATTGCCCCTAAAATCCAGGCCACAAATCTGTCTACCCCATTACGTATAGATATTCTAGATGACAAGCGAATTGATATAGCTTTGATCGTCTGTCTGTTAATCCGCCCGGTCTACCTATTAGTTTTAATTTGATCAGATAAAAAAAAAAAAGTTAATAAATAAACAATTGTAAAAGCATTTGATTGTATTGCAATTATTGAAATTTATAAATCCTCGTCATTTGGGGCTTAGTATATTAACTAGATGGACACCCCAGTTCGAGTCTTGTTTGATTCAGTATTAATATTTAATAAACTTGTGCAATTAAATCTTAACTTCTTAGGACATTTATCAAAAGGCGGCCAGCTGTTCGCTCCGCACGAATATGTAAAGTAGCTAAACGCATTCCTAAGCAGCAAGCAACAGCAGCACCGACATGTTGGCACTCATCTGCATAATTTAATTACATTTAACAATAACAAAGCATGCATGCACATACACACACACACACACAGTCACATACACAGCGCGTGCAGCGTTTTGCACTAATAAGTGCGAGAACAGAGACTAATTCCTTACTCTTCATCATTCGTACTCTCTCACTCTCACACGCACTCGCACTCTCAATCTCCCCCTCTTGCTGTCTCGCTCGCTTACATATTTTTCTCTGTCTCTCGTTTTGCAGTTGCCATGTTACTTGTCAAGCGGCACACGACGACCAGCAAAAATCTCAAGTGTAGAAGGCGAGCGACGCTCGCATAAACAGTTACACATTTGCATGACACGCCTTCTGCGCCCGACGTCTCCCATAGGTGTTGTTGTAGCTCCTGCTGCTGCTGCTGCTGCTGCTGCGGCTGCTGTTGTTGTTTGTGCATATGCGACATTAGCGCATGCAAACAACGTGCACACAATTAGAAGAATTAACAGTAGTTAGGGCAGCAACAACAACAGCAGCAGCAAACGTGTAGAGAGGAGTGAGCGAGAGAGAGGGTGTGTGTATGCGAGAGGGGCATAACTAGATGCGCCAGAGAGTGCTGCAGGCTGTTGTTCTTGTTGTTGTTTCCTCAATGCTTGTAATTTAGTTTTAGGAGGGAGAAGCAGGAGCGGGAGCGGGAGCGGGAGCAGGCGACGCGTTGCACTTTTCGTACTTTGCATAGTTTGCACTGCTGCGACGGCTTGTCGTCTGCCAGGATGCGGCCGTGTCGCGTTGCGGGGCAGGGCCGGCGCTCTGGCGGCGGCAACTTATTGGCCACAACATGCCAACTTATTAGGCAAAAGCGCAAAAGTTATAAATTGTTTTACGAGGCGCACATTGTTGCGGGTATAAATATGAGCATAGCATAAGGCTGAGCGGGCCCAAAAACTTTGCCTGCAAGGACACACAGGCAAGCCAATCGAGATGGGGCCTTAAAGTCGTAAATGCAAGACTACGTGAAATTAGCGAAGGAAAAGTCTTTCTTATCCATCAAGGTTTTAATTGAAAAGTTTTTTGGCCGGGCTTTTAGTAACGGCTCTTTGGCTATCCAGTTGACCGACCACAACTGACTGACCGGAAATCCGCAAGCGAGCAACACAAAGTGGCCGACGTCCCACAGGTCCACAGGATCTATTGTGTAATATCCGTTCGGCTGTTATTCTAATTTGGGCCCGGTCAAAAATTAAAAAGTTGCCATGACGTTAGTCATGCGCTCTTGTTTTTTCTTGCTGTACGCTTGTGCCTTAGCACAAATTTCATGCAAAATAGCAAAACCGCCCAAATGAAATAAAAATGGGTAGGAGCAACGGCTGGGATCCTTTCCTGTTTTTCTATTCAAAAATAAAGCGAGCGCATCAACAAAAATACCAAAAAAAAAAACACAACACAAAATACTCATAATATGCACACTATGCGAAATAAATAGAAGTGTATGTCTGTATGTATGTGTATGTATTTATGGGAAAGAGCATCGAAAAAGAAAAAATTACCATATAAATTAGCACAGCAGACAAAACAACTGAATCTCTGGGCTAGCCACAGTGGTTGGGGGGCGTGGCTGCTTTTGTTTCGCAAGGCCAATGAAAAACAACAATTTCTCTGGCATTCATTTTGGCAATTAAAAATATATATCATACATACTCTATTCTCTACGCTCTATTATATTCAACAACTGTTAATGTCCCCATAGTTGACCGCATTTCGTTGGGGTTCCTGGGGTCCTAAATATTTTTGCTTAGCTCTGGCATTGTTTCGCTTTCTTCTTTAAGCAAACGTGGCGTTTAAAAGTTCCCCAACAAATATACATACATATATAGAATGTGTCTATGTGTGTATATACATATATATAAACTGCTGACACCTTTGAAAAATTTTCACGCTAATAAAACACAAAACATGCCAGTCACAGCTGAGCGAGATGGCATGAGAGACGTGGCCCAAGCGCACGCAGATAGAGGACCAGAGATCTGGGCAGTCAGCAAAAGCCACAAAAGGCTGTTGGCCAGAGCGGGGCTGTGGGGGGAGGCTGTTGGCGTGGCAGCTCGAGCTGCCAACTTGTTTTGTATTTTTCGCCCCATTTTTGTCAAACACAGCGAAACAGAAACCAAAAAAAAAAAAAAACAAAAATGAAAACCTGATGCAAAGAGAACGTTACAGAAATTTGTTTTAATGCCGCGCACTTTTATGCGCTTTCTTTACAGCTTCTTTTCAGTTCTTTCCCTTCTTTTTTTTGCCCACTTATTGTGTTACATTTGTGCAGCGACAGCAGTAAAAATATCCTCCACTGGCGCTGTCGCTGGCGCCCCTCTCAAGCGAACCGCAACTTGTGCAACATCATAAACCCATTTGCGTTTTTAATTAGTAACAGCGCGCTGCCGCAATGCCAGGACATTGGTCAGGGATATGCGTGTGCTGCGATGCTGCGAGCGTTTGGGGCGCTCGCAATCTTGATGTCACAGCGTTACCACCAAACACAGTCGCAGTCGCAGTCGCAGTCGCAGTCGCAGTCGCAGTCACATTTACCAGTTGCCAGCTGCGCTTGCAAAAGGAAAGAGCTAAATGACCATGCAAAATTCGTCCTGGGGCGAGACAAAGCTGAAGCGACGCGAATGGTAACTGATAGGGACGCAGCACCATGGAGAGGACAACACTCGAAAACTGGAGCAAATAAGGTAAAAATTTTTAATTGCCGCAGCAAACGAAGAAGCGAATGCAGAAAAATTGTTGCAGCAAAAATTATTATTAAGTTGAGGGAGTTTTTTTATAGTTTTGTTTTTTTTTCTTCTGTGGTCAGTCCTTTACTCTGTCAGTCTGTCAGTCCGTCAGCTTGTCAGTTTGTCGGAAACTAGCCAGCGGGTGAGCTGTTGCAACAAAGTTGAATAGTTAAAAGCGCAACTTTTTTCATTCGAGTGGAACAGTTTGCTGAATTGATGGCCCACAATTTGGGGCAATAACCGCTGCCAGCATCAGCATCAGCAGCAGAGGCAGGCAGCATCAGCTAGAAGTGACTGACGATGTTATCTGACAAAGTGCAGGCTTCCATTGAAATGTTGTTTGTTTTTTTTTTTTTGTTTTTTTCCTGATCAATTTAGTGTTCAAATCAAACGAGATTGAGAACAAAATATCAATTTGAATGCTATGTATTATTATTCCATCTTGATTCACAGTAATTTTTCTTGGTTTTTGCCTTGGGGGGTTTGTGACTTACCAATTGAATGCTTTTAGTTTATTAAACCCCGGCACTCTCACGTGATTGTACAAAACTCATGCGGGTCCACGTCAGGTGTTACTTTTATACAAAATTTCGGCTCCATAGCTAATCGAACATTTAGATTCTTTTAATAGACTATGCTTAATCGGCTTAGATATAACAAATCGCTGTTGCTATCCTTATATAATTGCAGATTTTACAGCTAGTAATATGCGTTTCTTATTGCTCTAAAGTAGAGCCAATTAAATTCGTTGTGTTTGGAAAAATGGAACTATGTAATACATTTATATATGAGTTCCATTCTGTAAGTTGGAAAAAGTATTGCAGGCAGGGGCTGATTTCAAGTAGTGTACGCATACATGTTTGATCAGGATGAGTAGCTGTGTCAGTCAGGTTATGTTCATGTGTTTATTCATCGCACGGTTGGTTCAAAGATTGGTCTGTTTCTTCTATTCTATTATACGTAGCTCAGATGTTCTGTGAATACAAGGATCTTTCGATGAGCCATCCCACTCCATACTCGATTCTTTTACATAGATAAGAATCGATTATTTGCATTAGGTTTTGAGGAATATCTAAAGTGCACTAAAGTTGAACAATTTTGTAGATCTTAGATTCTCGTTACCTCTTCCTCAACAAATTTAATTGAAAATGGTATAGACTTTGATTTGCCAAATATATATATTTGGATATAAGCATATGTATGTATGTATATATTTTTTAATCAACTGCAAATCAAATCATATTCCATTGCAAATGATTTCTACCTTTTAATAATTTCAGGCATGATTTATGTGCTTTTTCGTGTCAATCTATCAATTGCACACAAGTAATTGCATTTAATTTGTCAAAAAATGCTTTGGAAAAAGGGCACTCGAAATAATGTGTTATATAAGAGCGCAAGCGGAAATAATATAAATACTATGCCAGTGGTAAGCTAATCGATTAGCCACGGTCGATTTCATAATTTATTTGATAAACAAATTTATTCGCTTAGCCCTCGCCTGGTTCTTTGTAGTTTGTTGCTTGGCCTTATTTTTGGCAATGTATTGAAAAGTAAATAATGCAATTTGCTACGCAAAAGACGAGCCCAGGGCATGGGCATTGCTATTGTTGTCTGTTTGCCTGAGCTGCTGCTGCTGCTGCTGCAGTTAAGCAATTATGTAATTTTTAATAGTCGTCGACGTTACGCAATTTATGAGAGTGAACCTGCCTGGAGTTGGGATCG